TCAAATTGATCGGTGTCCATTTAGCCCCTTGTGCCAACAAAATATGGTTTAATATTCAATTAAGAAATTTCATTTTATAATATTGACATCTCAGTATGTATTTTGTTTAGCTCTGGTAAACATGTTTACGAAAATTATTTCGGTTGCATGTATTACAATTAATTTGAACAAAGTCAATGATTGTATATATTATTATCAATGATAAATCTATGTATGTCGGAAATAATTGTTAGATGATTCAACGGATTTATCAAGATTCGCAAATTAAAACAATTTTGTTATCAACGAATTTCTGTTCTTCACAATTAATAACATTCGAGATAACATTCTACGTGAATATAATGAAATTTGCAGATAAGCGCTGAAATCTTTCATTCTTTTGAATTAGCAATTAACATTTAATTTTTAATTCAAATTTGACTAATTTGAATCAAAATTATTTAATTAGCTTAATTGGACGAAATTTAAATTAACGATTTGATTTTAATTTTTAATCAGGAAATACTACTATTATTGATTACAATTAAAAAAATTTAATCGCCAATTGCTAATGAGGTAAATAAAAAATTAGCAAGCCTGAATATAATTAATGCTTTTAAAAATTCATCAGTAAATAATTGACATAAACGAAGGTAAAGATGAGTACAATATTTAATTTCTGTTTGAAAGTTCAAAGATGCAATAGAAGGTGGCGTTCAGTGTTCAATTGTGGAGAACCAAATACGATGATGATATTGGCAATGTCAGAACACCTTTTTATTGACAAATGAAGATTTATTGAACTGAACCAAATATGATTCATGATATTAAATGAATTGATAAGGACCTTGTGCTTATTTTTATTATAGAATTTATTCAGTTTCTTAATTATTATTGATAATAAATAGACTGCAGATTTTATGCACTTATGAAATAATTGAATGTTCCCTGAAGTATAGTATAAACGTTGCATATAATAGATTTAAAGTTTAACTACTGGTTATTGAGTTGAATATAAAGTCTGGCCGAAATAAATTAGATTAGACGACAGTAGTTCAATTATTTATATTATGATCTTTCTAATAGAAGATGACTGCGCATATTCTAGACTTTTATACAAAATAAAATATTTATACAGGATACAATTTTCAAAAATGAAGTTTGGATATGTTTCGCTTTTTTAAATCTGGCAACACGCATACTGTTGTTCATACACCGCGTGCAGTATTCAAATTTCAATGTCTGTTATAAACGCATGAAAAATCTGCAGCCTAACGATGATTATACCTTAAGAAGGTCTCCTATTTTCTGTCACCTAAGAATTAGAAACACGTTTTCGAAAGTGCACGTTCGCAGGAACATTTTGATTGACAGTTGCCTCGGTATTCACGACTCACAGTCGCGATCGAGCATTGGAAAGTCCGCGAATAATGGTTGCAAGTGCATGTCATGCGATACGCGTGTTCTGTTTGTCCAACTGGAACCGTACACCTTCGTTCATAAGTCTTAGGACACTTCCAAGCGTTTTCATAGACGATCAAAATCTGACAAATATTCTAAATAAAAGAACCGTCACGAATTATTTTAATTCGAAGGTGTAAATCATATAAGTAGAATATGAATCTTTATGCAAAATAAATCATTTATAATATCAGAGT